TACACGCGCTACACCACGGTCTTCCCCTTGCAGCGCAAGGCGGATGTCCCTGATGTTTTGATCCCCTGGATCCGCGCTACTCGTCTCCAGCTCCGCGAGCGGTTCCAGTTGGACTTTCCTGTCCTGCGTCTGCACTCTGACAGAGGTGGTGAGTTCTCCTCAGACCTCTTGGCAGCCTTCTGTGCGGAGCACGGCATCCGCCAGACTTTCACGCTTCCGGCCTCTCCGCAGCAGAATGGGGTTGCTGAGCGCCGCATTGGCTTAGTCATGGAGGTCGCTCGTACCTCCATGATCCATGCGGCTGCCCCCCATTTTCTGTGGCCGTTTGCGGTCCGGTACGCCGCGCATCAGCTCAACCTTTGGCCCCGTGTCTCCTTGCCGGAGACCTCGCCCACACTGCTGTGGACGGGGAAGGTTGGCGACGCGTCGCGTTTCCGGGTCTGGGGTGCTCGTGCCTTTGTCCGCGATACCACCGCGGACAAGCTCTCCCCTCGCGCCATTCCTTGCGTCTTCCTTGGCTTTGTCCCTGACGCGCCTGGCTGGCAGTTTTACGACCACGCCTCGCGCCGTGTCTTTGCGTCTCAGGACGTCACCTTTGACGAGTCCGTCCCCTTTTACCGCCTCTTCCCCTACCGCACTGCTCCTCGCCCCCCCCCCGCCGCTCTTTCTCGCCCCAGGTCCTCCCCAGGTAGACCCCCTCCCCGCGCCAGGTCCTGCTCCTTCAGGTGTCTCTCAGGTAGACCCCCCTGCGCCTGCGCCTGTTGAGGTCACTGGTGACTCTGGTCCTGCTGCGAGTGGTGCTGTCCCTGGGGGTGCGGAGCTTGGGGGTGCTGAGTCTGGGGGCGCTGAGCGTGTGGAGCCTGGAGGTGCTGAGCCTGCGCGTGAGGAGCCTGGAGGTGCTGCGTCTCGTGGTACTGCGTCTGGAGGTGCTGCGTCTGGGGGTGCTGAGCCTATGTGTGCGAAGCCTGGGGGTGCTGAGTCTGGGGGTGAGTCGCCCGAGAGTTCTGAGACTGCTGTTACGCGGTCTCCCTGGAGTAGCCGTCTTCGTCCGCGTGTGCCCCTCACCTCCCAGCAGCTGCACGACTGGTACGGTCGCCGTCAGCGTTCCACTTCTGCACCTCAGGGCTCTTCTGCTGCAGGTTCTTCTGCTGGTGTCGCTGGTCCCGGAGGTGCTCGTACTGGGAGTACTGGAGCTGCTGGGGCTGGTGGTGGAGCTGCTGGAGGTGCTAGAGGTGCTGGAGCTGCTCGGGGTACTGGAGCTGCTGGAGGTGCTAGTGCTACTGGAGGTGCTGGAGCTGCTGGGGGTGCTGGAGCTGCTGGAGGTACTGGAGCTGCTGGAGGTGCTGGAGCCACTGGGGGTGCTGGAGCTGCTGGAGGTGCTGGAGCTGCTGGAGCTGCTGGTGGCACTACTCAGCTACGCCTGTTCTTTGCTCCGCCGTCTCCGTCGTCTCAGCCACCACCTGACTCTGCACTTCGCCAGGTTCTCGGTCTTCCCTCGTCTACTGGTCTTCCGTTACAGCCTGGCTCACCGCTGCCTGCTCCCTCTCCGTACACAGAGCAGCCTGGTGGCCTTGCAGAGCGTCGTGAGCCTGTGTCGCGTCCTGTCTCCCCTGTCAGTTCCGGTCGTCGTGTTCCTCGTCAGTGCCAGCCGGCTGTCTCCGGCCCTCCCCTTGTCGTTCGTCGTCCTTCCTCTCCTTCACCGCGTGTTCCTCTGCCGCCTCCCCCTGCGTCCTCTCTGCCTGTCGTTGCTGACCCTGCGTCTGACCGGTTTCGTGCTGAGCACTCTACTGTCACGCGTCTGCTTGCCACTGTTGTCACTGACCCTTCGTTTGAGTCTGCTGCTGCGTCTGCCTTAGTCACTGAGCTTGTTGCCTTTGCTTCTCACTGTCGTCTAGACTACGCCGCCGGTCTTGTTGCTGAGTCTGCGTCTGTCTGTCCTCCGTCCGTCAGGGGTGAGTGTGCTCTTGGCACGGACGTCCTTGAGGACAGGCAGGAGGACCTTGAGTGTCTTGCAGCCGCTGCGCCTCAGCTCGTATCCATGCTGCTTGCCCCTGAGGGAGATCCGGATGCACCAGACATCCCTACCCCACGCTCTTACGCTGAGGCGATCGCGGGTGAGTACTCCTCTCAGTGGCAGACAGCCATGGATGCAGAGATGGCATCCTGGAAGTCCACAGGCACCTACGTCGACGAGGTTCCCCCTCTTGGGGCGAACATCGTCAGTGGCATGTGGATTTTCAGGGTGAAGCGGCCGCCAGGTTCTCCGCCTGTCTTCAAGGCTCGTTACGTGGCTCGAGGCTTCAGTCAGCGAGAGGGAGTTGACTTCTTCCAGACCATCTCCCCCACCCCGAAGATGACCACTCTTCGGGTGCTGCTGCACGTTGCCGCTCAGCGTGACTACGAGCTTCACTCTCTTGACTTCAGCACAGCCTTCTTACAGGGCAGCCTGCACGAGGAGATTTGGCTGCGCCGCCCTCCTGGCTTCACTGGGTCGTTCCCTCCTGGTACTCAGTGGAGCCTCCGGCGGCCGGTCTACGGTCTCCGCCAGGCTCCACGTGAGTGGCACGACACACTGAGGACGACACTTGCGGCTCTTGGGTTTGCTCCGTCGACTGCTGACCCGTCGCTGTTTTTGCGCACCGACACTTCGCTGCCGCCGTTCTACGTTCTCGTGTACGTCGACGACTTGGTCTTTGCCACTGCTGACACTGAGGCTCTCGCCCTGGTGAAGTCGGAGCTGCAGAAGAGACACACGTGCACAGACCTGGGTGAACTGCGCAGCTACCTTGGCTTGCAGATCACCCGGGACAGAGCACGCCGCACCATCACACTGACTCAGTCACACATGGTGCAGCAGGTCCTTCAGCGCTTTGGTTTCACCTGGTCCTTAGCACAGGCCACTCCTCTGGCTACAGGTCACTCGCTCTCAGCTCCACCTTCGGACGAGTCCGTAGAGCCGAGTGGTCCTTACCCAGAGTTAGTGGGCTGCCTCATGTACCTGATGACTTGCACTCGTCCTGACCTTGCGTACCCTCTTGGCCTTCTGGCTCGCTACGTGGCTCCTGGTCGGCACCGAAAGGTGCACATGGATGCTGCCAAGAGGGTACTACGCTACTTGTGCAGTACATCGGGCATGGGGCTCGTGCTTGGAGGACGGGGTGACGTTGTCCTCACTGGTCACTCGGACGCCTCTTGGGTTGACGACCAGGCTACGCAGCGGTCGTCACAGGGTTACACCTTCAGCCTTGGCTCTGGTTCAGTTTCTTGGCGTTCTACACGCTCGTCTTCAGTTCTCGGCTCCAGTTGTGAGGCCGAGATCTACGCCACAGCCATGGCTGCACAGGAGCTTCGCTGGCTCACCTACCTGCTGACTGACTTGGGAGAGCGGCCTCGTTCTCCTCCAGTGCTGTACGTCGACAACAAGGCCGCCATTGCCTTGTGTCAGGAGCACAGACTGGAGCACAGAACGAAGCACATCGCTCTCCGTTACTTTCTTGCTCGAGAGCTGCAGCAGCGTGGCCAGCTTCGTCTTACCTACGTGGCCACTCGGGCCAACACTGCTGATATATTCACCAAGGCACTTCTGCCTGGTGATCATCAGCGTTTCTGCACTTTGTTAGGCCTTGTGCCCACTCTTCCTCACTTGCTGTAGGCTTTGTTTGTACCATGATTTATATGTATTCCTGCATGCTTGTTCTTGTAGGTAGATTTCACTGTACTGTTGTTGTTACATATATATCTCTGCATGTGGACTGGCCTTGTGGCCTTTCTTGCTTGTGCTCAGACTGCGTGGTGGCGTTGTGATCCACCCTGAGCTTGCTTTCCACTTCCTGACTGGTCTTGTGACCCTCTGTTCTCCCCCACTCTGCCTATGGGGGTGTGTGAAACATATGTATAGCTATGTTATATTTTGGGTAGGCTTAGTGGGGTACACATTGTAGGGTACAACCCCTTAGGTTAATTTTTCCTTTGTACCACCATCTCGATAGTCGACACTCAACCATGCCTAACTTCTAAGACACTGTGCACTCCTTACCTCAGCAATCGAAACATGCACTACCGAAGCTGAAGACGAAAAGGCGAAAGTGACGCGAAGCGTCGTACGGCTACGAAAAGGATGTGAACCGTCGGGCAGACTGCATCAGGCAGCAGCAGATTCTGCCCGGACAGTTTCGTAACTGTCTGGAGTCGCACGGTTGGATTTCGCTGTAATAAGGGAATGTACCCCTTAGAGTATATGGCTAGCTAGGTCGATTCTTATTCCTTCCTGTACTCTTATCTATACCCTAGTACCTGCATGTTTCAATCATCTCAAGCATTTTACATCCACTCTGCTATTGAGGTCACGAGCCCACCACCACTACCCAATCGTGTGCGAACCTTCTTAAGGTGATACTAGGGACGAACATCTGATCGCAGCAAGATCAACCCTGAGCAAAACAAATGCTTAAAAGCATTAACACTTATTTTTGTCAGGGTCAAGGTTGGTTGAAAATCGGAGGCCAAAATACAATGAGATTGTGGCCATACATGTATACATTTCTAAACGTTAGTACCAAATGGATACAATGCTACTACTTACAGGTGCGCACAAGAATTAGTGGCCACATGCCTTTCTGCCCTAATTCATTCCTGCCCGCACAAGAGCTTGCTTTGCACACCTCCTATCAGCAGGTGGAGAGCAAGAGTAGGATAACAAAGCCCGATGCAATAACTTGCCACCTACGTAGCGTGGTACTGGTATCAAGCCAGTAGAAAAAGGTGAGTGGAAGACGAGAATAGGGGGAGCAAGGTAACTTGAGGGCGAAAGAGAATCCCCTGCAGCAGCACAACTATGCAGGATGTAATACATAGACATACAGAGGCAGATGATGGGGCAAAGGTAAGGGATTCATGTGAAATGCACTGGGTGCTACAAGTGTAGCAAGACCAGATGCACATGATGGGAGGATTGGAAGTGAGAGGAGGAACGTGGGCGTGTGGAAGGGGAGTGCGAAGGATCAGGCAGGTGGAAGCTTAAAAACTGGCTGCTGCTGGTCACACCACTGCCTCAGAGCATCCCTCATCCAATCATGCCTACACCGCTGTATGGCCTCTGGTATTGACACCTGAACAAGCACCATGCAAAGACATGCCACGCACACATTCATTCAACCCCACATCAAAATTATCATCCACCCCATCCATCATGAGTGCATGGAAAGGGGCATCGGGAAAGGGGAAAGACGATGAGCATTATTGCATTGCACTCAGGGAGCCATGGAGAAAAACGGCAGAGGGAAATAGCGATGGCCGGGACGAGGAAGAAATCGGGAACAGGAGGCTACTGATGAGCTGATTCGGCAAAGCGCACATGGACGCACCCAGTGACGGCTACGGCGGCTCATTTCGGGCCAGACAGTGAGCAGCTCGGCCACGGCAAGGCTGAACATGTGCGCACAGCACTCGCCGTCTTTACACTCCGCCGTGCGTAATCGCTTGCTCTTAAACATCCACGAACCTATTCTGCCCTGAATGACACAACCGCAGGGCAGATAACGCAAAAGGCCGTCAGACCCTGCTTAAGGTGGCGCGATAAAGAGCAAGAAAATAAGGCGATCGACAATCTTCATGAAAAATAAAGCAGCTGCTTCTGATGATTTAATCATCTCAAACTGGCATGGTCATTAAGCCTTCCGACCTGTATAATCCCTCGAACCCCAGCTTCTTCCATAGCTTCTCGGCACGCAGCCTGTTCAGCAGTCTCATCCGTCTCCCAGCCACCCTGTTGAAAGAGACGAACGCAAACATCAAACATCTGAAAGAGCGTGATGACGGCAAGCAATGACAGAATGTTCGTTTTCCGTCTTATGGAACCAAAAACTAGCAGGGTCTGAACAGAGAAGGTTAGCTTCACGCACCTTTGGAAATATTAAGCCTTCACCATGTTGCGATGTGATCATTAGAACTTGAAGCTGCTCTGTTGTTTGTCTGCCGTCCTGATCCTCGTTAAGAACGCGGAAGGGAATGCACCTGCACCGGCAGCAAAAGCTACGTCAACCGGAAATTCAAGATAATGAAACGAAATAAGGTGACCCAGAATGGCGGATAAATAAGCAGGGGTGTTTCACAGAATGAAGTGAAATGGAGGAAAAGGCGAGTTAAGCATATAAAAATCACGGTCGTTTGGTGCTACAGCTAGCGAGTAGCTATCTTAAGACAGGAAGAGCAAACGACAGGAAGAAGGGCTGACCCAGCAACGAGACGAACCCCTTCCGCATATCTTTGATGACTCCGTCCAACCCGTGCCACCAGCTTCTCTGGTGCCTCCGCTTCCATGACGGCAGCAAACGCTGTTCTTCGAATGGGGGACTCGCTCACCATCCCCTGCTGCTGCACATGCAAATCCAAAACAATGGTTAAGGATGGATTAAGGGTCAACAAAAAAATAGAATTGAATTGTACTGGGGAGAAAAAAACAACCAGGAATAGAAACGACCTGACGACACATCGTCGTCACTACCTGCCGCCATAGGAAGCAGAGAAACGTTGGACATGACTTACTTAGGGGACAACCATTCCAGGCACGGAAATTAACAAGACGTAAAAACGACCCTTGCATTCCAACAAAAAAAGAGGTCAACGTGAAGGGACAAAAGCAAGCCGGGAGTCGGACAAAAGCAGGACAAACCAAATGCAAATCACTGAAGGACAAATAGCAGATCGAGAACGTACATCGGACATCGATTGATAAAAAGTCGAAATAGACTTAGACTTGACTCGTCGCCATTTTCGCTATCTCCCGATCGACCAGCAGTTGTTATCGACAAGCAGCTTCGAACACAGATCGACCTGATCCTTAGGGAAACAAGAGTGTACTAACTGGGTTGTTTTCCGACACTGCGATGTCCGAGGGGTAACCACCTTCGAGACCTTCAGAAACCCCAACAGCCGATCGCAAAACAGTCGCAGACGGGAAGAGTCCAACTAATCGACTCCGGACGATCGCTGAGCCAACCTCGCGAGATCGCAGAAGGGGATTACAGACCCCTTTCAGGACCCTACTAGGAACCTAGTGGGAGTTGACACTGGACATGACAACCTGACCGTTGCGGAGAGAAACGGATGGTAAGGGAGGCTCTCAACGAGGCAAGGTGGGGTTGGATTGGGTGGGACAGGGGGGATTGGGGGAGGAGAGAGAGAGGGAGGCAGGGAGTGAGCGAGCAGCAGGCGGAGGGCGGAGCTGGGATGGATGGAGTGCTGCTGGACGAGAGGAACCGAGATGAAGGGCGGGGGAGAGGTACTAGTGGGGGGGGGAGAGTGACGGAGAAGATTGGCGGGGGATTGTGACCAGGGGGAAGAATACTGAGAGGGTATGGAAGGGGAGAGACTGGCGGAAGGGGGAAGTCGAAGCTCGTAGCGGGGCTGCACCGGGCAACGGGCACGGCAGGCAAGCGCGCGGAGAAACACAGATTGGGTTTGGGGGGATTCGTGTTGCACTGCTGGAACCCGCGCTGCTTGGTTTGGTAAGGGTTTTGACCAGGATGAAACCTCGAAGTCCTCTCTGAAAGGGGTCACTGTCACGGAGGGCCCAGCATGAAACCGAGGAAGTGGGAAATTTGTTTTTGGAGGGCCAGGAGCAGAGATTGCGTCTGGGCAGTAAAGGCAACCCTGATTGCGGTTCCGGCGAACGTCGTTACGAGCGAGTTGTTTTCGACAAGCGTGGTAACTGACTTGGATTTCGGAATTGTGACTGGAAACGCGTTAGCGGGACGACTGCGCCTCGAGAATCCTTCGTTGTGTACAGAGGATTTGAAAGGCGCGAAGAAAGTGGTGAACGCGGACACGGGTTGACAGAAGGCGCCAGAAAGTGCGGGGAAGCAAGTGTGTGTGGGAGGCTTTTGGTTCGGTAGCAGCGAAATGAGGTGGTCACAGATTGATGACATGGCACGTGCCATGTCAGTCTGGGTTGCAGTGTGTTCGGTTCAGAGAACCCAGAGGACGTCCACCACTACCATTCGACAAGAACAGTAAGTTGCAAGGACGATACATTCTGTACAACAAAAACAACTTGTGGGTAATTGTTCCATTTCTACTTATCAAAACAAAGGAGACACTACTTTGATGTTCTTGTATCTGGCAAACACCTTCCATGCACGATTTCCTATTGTCCTACGGACCCGTTTCCCTGACCACAATCCTTGACTTATTTGACTTGCATCCCAAACACTAGCATAGAGGAAAGAAGGATTGGATGGATAAGGTTCAGTTGATAACGCTGTATTGTTCACCACCTCTCGTATAGGGACTCTGTCAATAAACCACCTGCACAAATATATCAAAAGCCCAAAACAAATTCAACTTGGTGGGAACACAGAAGGGACGAATGCGTCCATACGCAGCCTCCAACTAAGAGGGGTCGAAGGAATCAGCTCTAGGGAAGCATTGCTCACACAGTTGACACGACAAACCTTACATGTCCCCCAACTGCGTACCAACAGGGTGACAACAATCTCTCACATAATGCAATTAGCAGTCAGCAGAAAGGCACACAAGGCCATGCCAACCCACCAACCCAACCGAGCTGCTGCACTCTCTGAACCAAACCAAGCTGCACTCACACGATGCGGACAGTGGTCCAGAGGATGGCGTAGTTGTGGAACGCCTTGGAGCAATCAAAGCCGAGAGTGTGCCAACCCTACTGAGATGTGTTCAATGGTGGTGCCAGTCAGGTGCACTCACACAATGCGGGCAGCAGTCCAGAGGATAGCATAGTCGTGGAACGCATTGGAGCAGCCAAAGCCGAGGGTGTGCCGTGTCAGGTCAGCCCTTGTGGCGGGTCGCACAATGTCTCATACTGCAAAGAAGGTCATAGGCATGCCAGCCCTACCAAGATATGTGATAAATCGTGATGCCAATTGCACTCACACAATGCGGTCAGCAGTCCACAGGATGGCGTAGATGTGGAACGCCTTGGAGGAGTCAAAGCCGAGGGTGTGCCAGCCCTTGTGGTGGCCCACAAGCGTGCCAGGCCTACCAAGCTGCACCCAATGGTGGTGCCACCCAGTTGCACTCACACGATGCGAGCACGGCCCCGTTATAGGCCCCGTTCGGCCCCGTTATAGGCCTCGTCAGGCCCCGTTACAGGCCCCGTTCGGCCCAGTCATGCCCCGTTAGAGGCCCCTTCAGGCCCGGCCGGCCCTGCTGCGGCCCTGTCGCAGCTCTTCCCCGACGCTGCCCCGGCCCTGCTCCTGAACTGCCCCGGCCCTGCGTCTGCACTGCCCCGGCCCTGCTCCTGAACTGCCCCGGCTCTGCCCCGGCCCTGCCCCGGCCCTGCCCCGGCCCTGCCCCTGAACTGCCCCGGCCCTGGCCCGGCTCTGCCCTGGCCCTGCCCCGGCCCTGCTCCTGAACTGCCCCGGCCCTGCCCCGGCCCTGCTCCTGAACTGCCCCGGCCCTGCCCCGGCCCTGCCCCGGCCCTGCTTCTGCACTGCCCCGGCCCTGCTCCTGAACTGCCCCGGCTCTGCCCCGGCCCTGCCCCGGCCCTGCCCCTGAACTGCCCCGGCCCTGCTCCTGAATTGCCCCGGCCCTGCCCCGGCCCTGCTCCTGAACTGCCCCGGCCCTGCCCCGGCCCTGCTCCTGGACTGCCCCGGCCCTACCCCGGCCCTACCCCAGCCTCTCCCCTGGTAAGAGCGCCGCGCTGCCGAGCCACACCGCCCTGCCGAGCTGCGCCGCCCTACCTAGCCTGCTTAGCCGAGTTCCACTGCTGCTACTGCTAGCCTGCTGCTTCTCCTGTCATGGCTAGTCTCAATGTTCTTACCTTTGATGCTGAGGGTCGGGCTGTTGACTTTGAGGTCTGGCTAGATGATCTGCAGCTTTTCCTACAGTGCGATAGCAAGGATGGTCTCTCACTGTTCGATCTCACTTCTGGCGCCTCTACTGCCCCTACTGCTGATGCTGACAGTACTGTTCGCTCGCAGCGGCTCACGCGCGATGCTGCTGCTCGTCTTGCTGTGCGCAACCACCTGCCGTCTACTGAGCGCGCGCACTTTAGTCAGTACAAGAGTGCTAGGGCTCTGTACGACGCTGTAGTTGCACGCTACTCCTCCCCTGCCACTGCTGCCCTCAGCCGCCTCATGCTACCGTACCTTTTCCCTGACCTTGCTGCCTTTGCCACTGTCGCTGACCTAGTTGCTCACCTTCGCACTAGTGACGCCCGCTACCGCGCTGCCCTTCCCACTGAGTTCTGTGCCAAGAACCCCCCCCCCATGTACATCACCCTTTACTACCTAGTCACCCGCCTCCCTGACTCTCTCTCCTCAGTCAGGGATCACTTTCTCTCCCTTTGCCCCACCGAGCTGACTGTCGACTTGCTAGATGAGCGCCTTGCTGCAGCTGAGAAGAGTATCTTAGCTGTTGGTGCTTCTCGCGGTGACCGTCGCACCCCCTTCTTTGAGGGGTGTTCCCCTGTCCCCCTTCTCCCCTCTGTTGCCTCTGCTGCTGCTGTCGACCTCGTTGGCACTAAGGAGGTCGGCGCTGCGTCTGCCCCTAGTGATCAATGCCGCACTGGCAAGGGCAAGGGAAGCAGGGGTGGTGGTGGGGGCGGTGGAGGCAGCGGTGGAGGAGGTGGAGGAGGTGGAGGTGGTGGTGGGGGTGGTTCCGGGAGTGGGGGCGTAGGTGGCGGCAGTGGCGGCCGTGGCGGCGGTGGTGGAGGAGGTGGCGGCGGCGGCGGCGGTGGTGGAGGTAGCAGAGGAGGTGGTGCTGGTCGCGGTGCGGCCACGCAGCGTGGAGGCCTTGGTGGCAGCCAGCGTCTGCAGCAGCTGCGCACCCGTGAGACCCCGTCTGTTCAGCAGCTTCGTGAGTGGTACGCTGGACGTGGGAGGTCTGGGGGTGCAGGTCCCTGCGCGTACGTTCTTTGCACCGGCACTCGTAGTGGGGAGGTGTGTGGTCTCCCACACACCACGCAGCGCTGCTTTGGCCGCTTGACTGACGCTTGGCGTACCCAGTTTCCTGACGCTGTTGATCTTCCTCGTTGGCATGATCTGCTTCTGCAGAATGTGCCTATCTTTGATCTAGATTTTGATGCTATCCTTGCTGCCATGTATGCTCTTGCTGATATTACTGAGGGTGACTGTTACCTGCGTGTCCCGCCCGACCCGGGCACTGTGGTTGCTGCTCTAGGTGCTAGTGCGGCTGCTGCTCTAGGTGCTAGTGCGTCTGCTGTTCCAGGTGCTGGTACGTCTCCTCCCTCTGGTACTGCACCTACTGAGTCCTTTCACACCTTCACACTTGACTCTGGTGCTTCGCGCTCTTTCTTTAGAGACAGCACCACGCTCACGCCGCTCCGTCGGCCTGTTGCGGTCTCCCTTGCTGACCCCTCCGGGGGACCAGTCCTTGCACACTCCTCCACGGTTCTACCGTGTCCTGCGGCCCCGTCGGGCTTGCTGTCGAGACTCCACCTCCCCTCGTTCTCTACGAACTTGGTGAGTGGAGCTGACCTCCAGGACGCGTGGGTTGACCAGTTCACCCCTGGAGGTCAGCGTGTGACCCACTGCACTTG